TCAGGTCATTTTCTGTTCGGGGATAATTTGATATGTTGCTTTTAAGTGTCAGTTGGGCATAGTTTATTTTCTAAGGTGTATCACAGTGACTTTGCATTTCACAACACTGCGGTAAAAGCGTTACTGAAGTCAAACTGCTGCTCAGATTAATCTGTGCACTCATTTTAACCCTAGGTTAACCATCATCTTATGTCTGCAGCCACTAAATACGTCTTTTCGCCTTGTTTGAGTATGTTTTTTCAGACGTTTGGGAGCCTTACAGTAACTATGTTGCCACAGGAATGATTAAAAACACCTGAGACACAAACAAATGTAAGAGATGTCGCTCTATTAACCCTAAGAATAATGACTCAATTTGTTCTCTGTGACTTAAGTTATCACTTGTGCTCTGCCAAGTGTAGTTGAATCACTGTTCACGCTCATCACTCACAATGTGAGTTTCATGTGCATCTGTGTGTTTGTGTGTGCACACTCTCAGTAGCCATTTTCAGCCTGTTGCTTAGGCTGGCTGTAATTGTCCCGGGAATCGTCAGCTCTGTGTAATAAATCACTCCTCTGGTACACTGTGTTCTCCACTCTGGGATGGCCTGTGTGTGTATGAGTGTGCGTGCATGTGTGTGTGCAGTGTGCATGCCTCACATGTCGAGTGCAAGGAAAGAACACAGTTTAGGAATAATATAGAAAGAAAATAATGTTTGAAGGAGTAAAGCTGCACCTTTCTGTCTCGGCATGCTCTTAATTTGCCAGCGGCGCAACTTAATTTTCATATTTCCTGAAAAACCAACCAATGGATATAATTGCTGTATAATGAAGATGTGAATTAATTTCATATACTTCTTTTGGTGCTTATCCATGTGTTTCTTCCAATTTCACCCTCAGCCTTGCATGTCCTGACTGTATAGAAAACAAGTTTTTCTTAATCTCATTTTAATACCTAACCATTTGATGTAATGTTCCAGAGGGATTTGTGGTAGCTGGCATGTGAAAGTGATTTTGTATTGTAAGAGACTAAAATAACTGTATTGTAAAGAAAACAGTTAACACGTTATGTGACCTAGTGACTAAAGAAAGAGTCGACAAAGTATCTTTTCTCTTGTTGTGTGTGAGTTTACTAGTCTTGCCAATCAGACACCTCAGTTTGATTCTTGATGTTAAAGCTCCTGTCAGTAACTTTCAGTTGAGGGTGATTTTGGCGCCCCCTGTGCTTCACCTATCGTTATGATGATATCTGAGGCCTAAGCCATGCTAACAGATTTTTAAAATGTGCGAGACCCACAGATAAAAACAGATTTAACAGTTTTGACTTCACAGCGTGTCATGATTGAGATCAGCCTCTTGTTTTGCTCAACTGGTTGCTGTTTGTTTCAGTCTTTGATCTTTATCACAACAGGTGATTGAGAACATGAGTTGTGTTATTGTGTTATTTGGGTTCTTGTTGATGAGTTTCTCTAATAGATCAGACATAGAAAAGCATAAAGACACTGCAGGACGGAGGAGAGATGTGGGTGGCAGGGGCGGATTCAGTATTTATCAAGGGGTGACCCAGCTCCAAGGCCCCCTCCGAAATGTAATAATACACCCCAAAAACCTAAACTCTAACTGGCTATTTGCCTTATCATAAAAGAGACTTAAGTTACAATCAACTATTTTGGCCTTAAAGAACTGTGTGTAGCTTCATTTGCAATTCAGTGCCACACATTTCGACTTTAAACAGCTATAGTTACTTAAGCTTGCTAATATTAATATTTATAAAATATATTTAGAGGAAAGTAAACATCAGTTTGATATGATAAAAAAAATTGATCCCCTGCATTTTATTAAGTTGTCATTTATTGACACTATGAGAGACCTGACTGGGACCTTCCACTACACTAAGAGACTAAGAGACTTGAGACCTAAGACTCGACTTAAAATGTGCCCATCTCTGACACAAATTAACAAGTTAGCGCTGTTTTGGCCGTATAGTTTAAGTCCTCGCCTCATGTATGGAGGATATAATGCAGCAGGTGGCCGGGGTTCCAGCCCACAGCCCTTCTCCCATATATCACTCCCCACTGTCTTCCTGTTTTCTGCCCCTCTCCCTGTCCTCTTTAAAAAAGGCATTCATTAAGAATCTCTGCCTTGGAAAACTTTTAAAGAGCTGTTTTGTGTTGAAGATTGTGTAAATTGTCTCAGCTGACGCTCATTTGCGGGTGGAGATTATGGACATAAAGAATTACTGTATAGAAAAATTCAATCTGTAGTGATAGTTTGGGGCTTTTGTAGCTCATAAAGAGGCATCTATAATCATTTAAGCCTGTAAAAACCCCTCCGAGGAGCTTTTACTGCTTCATTAGCAGACCAGACGTGTTGTTAGACACTGATGTTTGGCCCCAAGAAGGCTTAAATCATCATATGTCACAGTGGAGTACATGGTCATCACTTTGGTTTATTATACCAGTGCTAACCTTTGGTCATGTGCTGTCTGTTCTCTTCTCTACAGCTCTGAGTTTACTACGTCTTCTTCCAGTTAAAACACAATGTGTCGAAAACTGGAAGAAACCAATCTTCTCACTGCAAACACCAGCCAGAGGAGCTATCAGGTGCCTCTTTACAAATTTATCCACAAAGAGAAGCCTTTGCCCTGGATCTCATCTCTAGTATCACACACCAACAATGAATCCCTCTAGATTCAGTAGAAGATCAAGGCCCACTGCCCATTCACAAGTCCTTTTCCCCAATGAAAGAGCAGCATTGGGTCACATTGAGAGAGAGTGTGCGGTTGCGAGTGTGTGCGTGTCTCTACAGTCCAGAGCTTAGCAGCGTGGGGTTCGTTGAGTTTCCAGGGGTTGCTGGGTTCGCGGAGCTGCTGGGAGCTAGTTTGCCCAAAGTCCTGTCCTTGAACTGTGAAAGAATATGCTGCGAGGGAAAGGCTTTTCAGACTGACTGACTGCAATAGTTGAAGTCAGGCCAGCTGAACAGACGCCAGGCAAGACAAATCCTGGGCTACTCGTGAGTGTTATACAGTGGCCAGTGGAAAGGAAATGTTAAAGCGGTACATCACAGAAGGGGTTGTCTTGTCAGGTTTCATTTCTACCACTTAATTGGGCCAGAGTTAAACGTCCAAAAAGAGTTTCTTTGCAAAGAAAACAATGGACCAGATTTGTCTGGTGATTTCACTCTGTAAGGCTTTGTCCTCCTGCCAAAATTGCTCGGTCTGACATTCATAGGGATGGACTTTGTAGGGTTTTCTCAAGGTAGAATAATAAAATACTGGACATGTCGGGGAAGCCACTGAGTCACAGACCCAAGGGAGTGCAAGTGTCTAAGCTGTGATGAAAATGCCATCTTTCAGGCTGCTGTAAACCAAACCGCCCCACAGGACAAGAGCTGTTTCCTATCAGAAGTTTAACCGAGAGGACAGGCTACCAAGCTAGCAAAAGCTTCTGTATCCAATTATAGAAGAAAAATAGGGAGAATGCTAAAACAGTAGGCTGGAATGCCTGATGCAGGCTAGCTCACTGCCTGTCCGTGCACATCACGTGTTTGTTTACATGCGTGCACGTTCAAAGGCGCAGTAAACCACTGTATTCGCAAATAAAGGACGAAGGAATGTTATGAAGTTTGTCCCCCTCTGGTATCTCTCTCTCTCTTTCTCTCTCTCTCTCTGTTTTTACCTCCTCCTTCTTCTTCTCCTACTTCTCACCTCTCTCCCACAATAAGAACCCTTTAAAGACAGCCTAGCGAGAAGGAGTGTGCATTTGCGTCTGTGCAAAACAACAACCAACGTGGCCAAAAGTTAAAGCCAATGTGGAAGAGCCTAAAGATGGTTGGCTCGATACCTTGTCGTTTCATCCGTTTCTCCGCTTAAACAGCCTATCTAACACATGTGGCTTGGGGATGAGTTTGGCAAATGTCAGAACCTTCACCTGCAGAGACAAAGACATCTCTGATATCGTCTTTTAATTCATCAATTTTTTTTCTGCAGGTTATGGTTTGTTCAAGCGCTTATTGGCAGACCCACAGCAGTTCTTCACTGGCAAGCTTTATGTCCTCATGTACCAGCTAAAGCTGCCAGCTGAAGAACTGTTGTGGTCGGCCCTTTTCTGCACCGAGGAGCCGCCTGACATCAGCACCGTCCACCAGCCAATCAAATCATTCGAAATAGTCACGACACTAAATGGAAAACCTGTTACTTATGCAGCATGTTCATGTGTTGAGAATCACACCATGGCTCTTGCTGTATCATGTAACAAAAAGCATTGCATCACGTGGACTCGTCTCTGTCATTTTAGGTTACTTTTAATGATACCTGTGCAGTTTCCTGTTTTTTCTGCTGTGTCATTATAATGTCGTTTTACAGTGTCGGCACATTTCTCGGTTTCACCTGGTTTGCATCATCCCGAAAAACACGTCTCGGTAAGAACTGGTGTCACATTCAAGCCTCATTTTTTTTTACACATTCCAGGTCTGAAATCTGACTCCCTGTTAAGATTTAAAGGACAAACAAACATCTGAAATGGATCTTAAACTCTTCGGTATTTTCCAGTGACATTTCACTTGAAAGATAATCCTCACTGTATTGTAAGGCAGAACTCTGAATGAGTTATGAAGCTGTTTGCTAATGCTGTAAGATCAGAATAATGAAGAGCTAAAGTGATCCAATTATAAACAAAAAATAGATCAAGCTTTATTCCACATTTGCGCTTTCAAAGGAGATAAAGAAAAACTGGCGAAGAAAATGTCCTGTCATCTCCACGCCTCTGCGTTTGCTCCTCCGTGTCATAAAAACCATCTAACATTTCTCTCCTCTAGTAGCTCAGAGTGTCATGCAGAAGAGTGCACATTAAAAGAGACATGGACATCTTGCCTGTGACCCTCAGCAGTCATAAACCAAAACTTCAAGAGAGAGGGCAATGCCCAGAGCCGGATATGAGAGCCAGCGTGTCCCTTTAAAAGCTGCCAGCCAGAGCTGAACAGAGGGAAGGAATGTTCTGGGGCTTTAACAAAACCAGATGCCCCGGCTTACTCTCTCACTCGCACACATGCTCTCTCTGCTGCCTTCGTTCGCCACTCCAGCTCTAACTCGACACTTGGAGACGGATGCGAGGACCAGAAGAACTAAAGATGCCGAGTTAAGTTTTGTCTACCTCTAACTCCTTGTCTGCGTCCCAATCTACTTATCTTCTTGTCACCTCCTCTTTACCGGTCTGTCCTTAGACTCTCGGCGCCTTCACTCAAACACCTGTGCAAGAGAAAAACACAGACGTGGATTATACCACTCTCTCCTGTACATCCTCTCCAGGCAGCACTGCCAGTACCTTGCGCACCACAACTCCAGACATGAGGGCCACGCCTTGACTTTGTGTGTTGTGTAGGTTAGTTTCAGGTCAGTGACTCGCCGCCTTGATCCACTTCCAAGGAATCTCCTGTGAGTGCATTAAGAGATTGTTGAAGGAAAGACGGATGCATGAGGCTTTAAGGAGAAGACGATCCAACTAGAAGGAGCTATTTTTTGTTTCACTCGGACAAACTTAAACTCATGTGTGCATGTGTATCAATCCACCCCTCCCTCTCCCGTTCCCACTTCCCCATCCAGGTGTGCCGAACCCATGCTACCGGACCCTGATGGTGTGTGTACCTGAGCCAGCTGTGGAGGGTGAGCGACAGACCGACATCTCAGAAGGAAACAAACGCTGCAAACAAAGATGGAGGACCATCACTAGAGGAGCACTGAATCAACCTCTATACCCTCAAAAATGGACATTATCAGATTAATCTTCCTCCTGTGTTAGCTTTTACTACGCACCCACTATGTTAAGGGTCGGTTTTGACCCGTGTCTTAAATCAGCTGTAAATGACACTAAAAACAATCCTCTATAGTCCAATTTGGTTCACATCTCTAGGTTTCCTTGTTAGGCTTCATTATCCATGAAAATATTGTAATATTTTTCGTTGTAGGCCTCTGAGCCTTTCTTTGTCAGTATACCCCTCACACAGACGTCTATCCTGAATTGATCTCACATGTCTGGACATGTCCCACATTGTTTTTTGTGTAGGGAATTACATGGAAAAATGAGAATTTCCTAAATCTCACATGATTGGAAGAGGATCTAACTGTCAGTGTAGTGCCTGATAGTGCACTTATGATTTCAGCTTTTGCTCTAATTATTATATATTGATCTAACCAGGTCAACAGCGACCCATTTTATAATTTAGTCAATTTAATTTTTTTATTTCTATTTTGTTGAAATAGAAGTTCCTGACAAAGTCAAAAAGTCTTGATGCAAATAAAGTAATTTATGTGGTTCTTTTAAGCATTTAAAAACAAAACCAGGTCGGTTTTGCAGACCCTAACACAGGAGGAGGGTTAAAGTCATTTTTGTCAGGGAACTTGAGTGAAAAGAGTTTACTTGGATATTGGGGAAAGAGTGTTGCTGCTTCAGGAGTGACCCTGTTAACAGGCTACAGCTGCAGCTACAGCATATGGTCTCCAACTCAAACATATTACATTCAAATGCAGTTGCCATGGTTCCCTGTATACAAACACAGAGGGAACATGGCTGGACTGTAAACTAGGTGAGGATGTCAAGTATAATGTTCTCGTTTGAAATAATGACCCTCCATGACCCCTATTCTTTTCTTTTAATCAGATATGAACCTGCGAAGAGACAAAAACTGTTCCAGCAACTGAAAAACTGGAGCACAAAAGTAGCCCACAACAGATCATTTTAGCTTTGAGCAAAGAGACTCTGACTGTAATCATTTCATTTAGGCTGAAGAAGTCTGGTTAGTGTGACATTCGCTGCTATTTAAGGTGAGAAGACCCAAGAAAAGACACTAACGGCAGAGAAAAGGCAGGAAGACACCGCACCTTAAGGCTACAACAGAGAGCTGTACCATATTGAATACACATGAAGTAAACACAGCAGCTTGTGAGGAAAAGAAAATGTCAGACTTGCAGTGATAAGGCAGAAAATGTACGTAGGTTCTGTGCTGATCTTAATGAAATGTACAGTTTTATATGAATAATAACAGCTGTGGAGAAGGTTATCTGATGTGGACCCAGCTCAACCAATGAGTGAAGTAAAGTCGATTATTTACAGCAAGAGAAATATAATATTTTCTTTTAAAACAAGACCAATCTTTTCCAAATCAACACTTGGCATAAAATAATTAATTATATATTTATTTCGAAGTGAGCAGCTGTGTCCTTGGCAGGATAATACAGCGAGCGAGCTGTTTGAATGAGCAGCACCGCTCCTTATCAGAGTTCAGAGTCAGTCATCTTGCATTCACACAGATATCCCAGCTCTGGCTTTAAGGGACTTAAATAACACGCTGCCTGGCCGAGACATACATTATGCCGTCAGAGCAATCATAAACAATATTTTTCTGCAGATGGGATCTGCACTGTGAGCAGTAAAAGCGAGGCCTTACACAAGCACTGTACTGCAGCTGAAGATAAGGTAGTGGCGACTATTGTAGAGTGGCTTTGTACTGTAGAGCAGTTTCATAATAAATTCAACCTGAACACGTTTGTGTCTTTTCTTCTGTTTTAAACCTGCGAGCTGGTTTAGACCTGCATCACTCCATTATTTTGGGCGATTGCTGGAAAACTGCAGCTGACCTTTGTGTGTAATGGTGAGTAGGTATCCATGGAAGCAATAAACATTATTAATACATTTTTATGCTTGTGTTTATGAGAATATCTATGTTGCCAATGGGTCAGTGTCTTATGTTGCAGTTAGCTCTCGTTCCGCCAATAATTTGTACCAATAACAAACTTTTTAACTTTCACAGTCATTAAATCAACATCAGGCAAGCATCTGCTGAGAGTTTGTTAGCGCACGAACGTCTCAGCAGGCTCTAATCTGTTCTGGCTGTTTAGGGGCTGCAGAAACCCAGGGAGAGATAAGAGAGAGAGGCTCAGGGGAAAGAAGAAGGTGTGTGTCAAATGGATCACCTTTAAAAAACAAGAGGCTAATTTGGGGTCATTAATCATTTCTTTCAACAGGTTTAAAAATTCATTACACCAAGACTATATTTGTTGTTTCAATGTCACGTTACCTGCATTATCCTAAATCTAACAACTCAACTCAAGCAAGTGTATTTCTTTCTTGGATATAATTGTTTAATATACATTTTTAAAGTCCTGCAGAAATAAGTTTGAACCATATTTTAAAAGACAATTTAGCATTTTGACCTGCAGTGCCATCAAATGCCAAAAGTCAGAGCTTTGCGTGTTTGCTGAAGACTCCCTGACACAGTCTTTCCTCTGAGGATTGGGTTGCTGGTGCCCTTTGGACTATGTAATACCAGTCACATCTTTGCACAGCATGTATAGACATCAGGCTGTTGACTTTGACCCCTCGCTGTTAGTAGATTAACTTCATCTGTTCAAGTTCATCAAGTCCTCATGGAGGAGGTCAGAGTAACGTTTTTTTTCTCCAGAGATAAATCTAACTGCTTTCTATCTGCGGTTGAGATATTCCCCCTGACATCCATACAAGATCAGATCTATTTTCTTATCTCTCCTAATGCTGTCTCTCTCTGGTGCTTTCAGTGTAATGGCTAATGGACTGATGGGAGATGTGTCTTTGCGTACTTTGAAATAGAAAGTGGGAGAACAAAGTGTTAATGGAAAGGAAACATGTATCATAGAGTTCTCCATGAATAAACCCAAATGAGCAGAGGTTGTTTTGTTATGTTTTTTGTTTTTCCGAGTCCACAATATTCCCCGGTGTGGTGTCTGCTGTCCGGCCCTTGTCCGCCTCTCAAGTCAAAGCAGAAAGACACTCCAAGGCCAGGCCTGAAGAGGTTTACAAACCTCCCCTAAATTCTTCTCAGTGGGTAAAATCATGTGAAAGCTGCTTAGGCAGATTATCCCTGCCTCGACGGCAGCTGGCAGCAAGATCCTTGGGAGTGCACCTGACTCAATACTGGTGGTGACGCAACCGCAGCCCGTGGTGCAGCGTGCTCCCACAATCCTCTGTGACCTTTAGCCTCCAAGTGGAAAAGTGCATCTTGAGGTTTTAAAGCAAGCTGGACTAAATGAGGAGATCAGACACACAGACACATACACACCACGCTAATGCACTTATCAATACACAGGTGATCTAATTGTGGGGAATAAATTAGGCATGATAATCTGCTCATTGGATTGAATCATAATCATTTAAGATTGTGTAATGCTAATGTTTCTTCATGCTTAAATTGATTCTTTATATTTTATTTAATGACAAGAGTCCTTAAATTTTATGTTCCTCTACAACATTTTAATACTTACTATTAGTCACATTTTCAGTTTTCTGAGACTATATTTCACAGTCTTGTTTTTATCACTCTCCTTTGTTTGTCTAATCTCATTAAATTTGGCCCAGACACATTTTATATTAAGAAATAGAAATAAAAAATCTTAGGGAAGAATCACTGAGAGCCAAGAAATAAACGGTACCAACAGGAAAAAGGGTTGTAAAATTCAGAGAGATAAATCAGTTGATAGAATATTTTATTTTGCTGCTTTGCTTCGTTTTTATTAGCGGATCTGTTCCCAAAATTTTAGAAGAAAAAGAGAAAACAGTGACACATTTGCAGCTTCAACCTGCAGTTAAACACAACAAAACCAGAGCTGCTCCTGTTTAAAAAGCGCTGTGCAGCTTCGTCCGTTGGTTTCCTTTTGGCATTAACTCATCCTGCAGATTTGAGTCGGTTCATCGGTGTAAGTTTGCACAAGAGCAATTTATCAACTGCTGCTAATATTTCATTTGGCACCGGCTTTTTGTCCAAAGCAACAAATATTTTAGGATAAGTTCAACACAAGCAAAGATTTTCTCCCTGCTGCTGTTGCTTTTAAAGGGTCATAGGCACACTCATAATCTAACATGAGCTAACTGCGCTGTATTTATTCCTATATCTTTGACACTGAGGTAAACTGTGGAGTGTTAGAAACTATAATTTTGTAAACTATGATTTCAGGGGCCATTTTACCACCCACAACACATGCAGCATCTAGTCTTTGGTTTGACAACAAAATATACATACATTTTCCCTCTGTGGATCTCTTAGTAAATGGACATGCAAGCTAAAATGAATCAGTTGAGAGAGCTAAGGTCCATTTAAAGTCTATTTTATTTCTAGTCTTTTTATGTTTAGGGACTGTTTTTTAATCACGATCAATCGCACAATAGTCCACAGTTAATCAGCATATTTGTTATCTTTTGTAAATGTAACATAAAGGGACATTTGTCACAAAGTGTTTAAATACTTGCCTGTACATTATTGGCGTTATGAATACCTCCCTTTAAAAACATTTTAGTTCAGCAGGCAAAAGTGTCACACTAGGAAATAATATATAGATACATTAGTTTGATGTATGATGGCAATAACAGACAAAACACACAGCGTTAACTCTGTGGATTGCGTTTCTTGACACAGCAAAATGTGTAAGTAGAGTCTCACTCATCCACGATGAAGAGTTATAGTAGATGTGTCAGCAGCTAAAATGTGGGGAGCTATGTTTTCTCTCAAGCTGTCTATCTTTAGTGTCATTTCTGATGTTGAGAATTTATCGCCACAGTCCGACAAAACAGTCCTTTAAAACAGACAAATGACTGTCCTTAAAGAGTCGTGTCTTACTGTAAATGACATAACTATAAACCATAAGAGGATGTTAAGTTTGTAGAAGGGAGTCATTACTGCCTCTGCATGGTTGCTTGAATGTAGGTTTTGTTCAGACGATACTAAACAAAAGAAAGAAAATGTCCTTTACAGAACAAAGTGTCTAAAAAGGTTTGAAATCAGATTGGAAACCAAAGTACAGCCAGGGATTGAGAGCTTACACAAAGACGCCTACACCCACTTACTACTGTGCTTAAGCCAGAACGCATCCTGTCTCACAGGAGCCCCTACCCGTGATCTGTTCTACACATTGCAGCTGATACTTGGCCGGCACTGCGCTCTTAAAATAGACGGGAGATCCAGATAGGTGGGCTGAGAGTCGAAAGAGAGAGAATGTGGAAAAGTGAGGCAGTGAGAGTGGGATGTTGGATGGTAAGACAAAAGGAAAGGTATTGTATGTCTACAATTTGCTGCCTGTATCCCACACTCTTAAACCACTCTCCTGTGTGTTTATGTGTGTGTGTGTCTGTCTGTGACAAAACTGTAAAGGTGCTCTTCGGAGAAGGCCTGTTATGTAATTCTAGGAAAGTCTGACCAGTGGTGACTAGACAATCTTGTTAAATGGCTGTGATTGGAAGACGCACATACGCACACCCACGCAGACACACTTGCACAAGAAAGCACGCACGCAAACGCACACATGTGTACGGTGTTGAACATATAAACAGTTTATAGGGCAGAAAGAGAAAGCTGGAACACTGTTATCTATGTATTAAATGGAGCAGTAAAAGCAGAGAGGTCCATACATGTCTATGAGCAGGAGCGGGCTGCAGAGAGTGCAGTCTTACCCAACACAGTTATAAATAACTAGACGGCCAGCACCTTAAGACGGTTTTGTCTGGATGGAGGGCAATCAGGGTTCAATGTAACCTGACAACTTAATCCCTTGTAAGAGAGAGAGGCAGAGGAAGACTTGCGATCGTGGGGCCGTCTAGCATTTCCAAGCTACTGTTACCTATTAGCACTTAGAGAGGAACAAACATTGGCTCTTTTTCGAGATAGAGTTCAGCTTGTAATACACGCCTGCATACTGTGGTCACATACTCTTATAAACAAACACAAAGTACTTGGCTTTACTTTGACAGTCTCTCTCATATTACAGTGATAGGTCACCGTAGCTGGATTTTATGTTGAGCTCCAGTAGGTGACAAGAAATTATGAGATTAGGAAACATGTAGCTTGTTATAAACTAAACTAATAGTAACAGTAACTTTCTATTTTACAAGACGATGATGAGATGAAATTGTTCAAGGTGGAAAGTCAAAGTTCAAACCTTGTTTTATTCTAGTTTGGAGAAACAAAATGAAGGTGAAGTTTTGGAGCAATAATAACTCATAAATCACCATTAAAATTGAAGATGCAGCTGAATGAACTGTGAATTGAATGATTGTCCAGGGGTGTTTCTTTGACATAAGGTCACTGGGGGCTGAGCCCAACCCCCTGACCCCCACCCCACAAAAAGAAGAAGTCAAAGAAAATAATTATATCAAGTGTGGCAACAGAAAGATTTTTTTTGACTTGGAGTAAGGATAATTCCTATTTATTGCCTCTGTAGATCAGCAGGGACTGCACAGCAGCAATGCATTATGGGAGAGTCTGAATTAAATCATCAAGAAGTCTAGATATTACACAAGGTAAAGTGCTAAGTAAATGAAACACTGCAGATTTAAACAGTAGGGAAATCTTTATATAATTTCTGATTGCTTTATTAAATTAGTTTGAAGACAGAAAATGTTGTGACAAGCACTGTTGACTAAGACTAATGACTTTTTACTGATTACATTTAGACTAAAAGGTTTGATTTTTGTTGACGGGAAACTAGACAAACTATTCAGGGCAGAAATGACTCAAATTGAGAGGCATTCTGGTTATAACTATTATCACTTTCATTAGATCTGCACCTTGTCCACTACGATGACTGTTACAGTTTTTCTCAGTCGCTTTGGTGCATTTCTCAGACCAGAATGAAAGTTCTCACAACCATC